GATGACTCCAAGATTTTTTTCCTGATTTGTTATAGCTAAATTAGCCCCCATCATATTGTATGTATAGTTGGGGTTATTTTTCCTGATGTGCATTACTTTACATTTATCCACATTAAATTTCATTTGCCATTTTGTTGCCCAATCACTTAGTTTTGTGAGATCTTTTTGAAGTTCTTCACAATCTGCTTTGGTCTTAACTTTCTTGAGTAATTTAGTAGCATCCTTTGTTTCCTATCTTTTAACCAGTTACCAATCCATGAGAGAACCTTCCCTTTTATCCCATGACTGCTTACTTTGCTTAAGAACCTTAGGTGAGGGACCTTGTCAAAAGCTTTCTGAAAATCTAAATACACTATATCCACTGGAACCCCCTTGTCCACATCTTGTTGACCCCCTCAAAGAATTCAAGTAAATTGGTGAGGCATGATTTCCCTTTACAAAAACCATGTTGGCTCTTCCCCAACAAATTATGTTCATCTATTTGTCTGATAATTTTGTTCTTTACTATAGTTTCAACCAGTTTGCCTGGTACCGAAGTCAGGCTTACCAGCCTATAATTGCCAGGGTCACCTCTGGAGCCCTTTTAAAAAAATGGCATCACATTAGCTATCGTCCAGTCATTTGGTACAGAAGCTGATTTAAATGATAGGTTACAAACTACAGATAGTAGTCCTGAAATTTCACATTTGAGTTCCCTCAGAACTCTTGGGTGAATACCATCTGGTCCTGGTGACTTATTACAGTTTAGTTTATCAGTTTGTTCCAAAACCTCCTCTAATGACACCTCAATATGGGACAGTTCCTCAGATTTATCACCTAAAAAGAATGGCTCAGGTTTGGGAATCTCCCTCACATCCTCAACTGTGAAGACTGATGCAAAGAATTCATTTAGTTTCTCTGCAATGACCATATCATCCTTGAGTGCTCCGTTAGCATCTTGATTGTCCAGTGGCCCCACTGGTTGTTTAGCAGGCTTCCTGCTTCTGATGTACTTAAAAAAATGTTTGCTATTACTTTTTGAGTCTTTGGCTAGCTGTACTTCAATTTTTTTTGGCCTTCCTAATTATATTTTTATACTTCATGTGTCAGAGTTTATGCTCCTTTCTATTTTCCTCACTAGGATTTAACTTCCACTTTTTAAAGAATGCCCTTTTGCCTCTCACTGCTTCTTTTACTTTGTTGTTTAGCCACAGTGGCTCTTTTTTGGTTCTCTTACTATGTTTTTTAATTTGGGGTATACATTTAAGTTGAGCCTCTATTATGGTGTCTTTAACAAGTTTCCATGCAGCTTGCAAGGATTTCACTTTTGGCGCTGTGCCTTTTAATTTCTGTTTAACTAGCTTCCTCATTTTTGTGTAGTTCCCCTTTCTGAAATTAAATGCTACAGTGTTGGGCCACTATGGTGTTTTCCCCGCCACAAGGATGTTAAATTTAATTATATTATGGTCACTATTACCAAGCGGTCCAGCTATATGCTATATGAAGACCTCTTGGTCTTGATCCTGTGCTCTACTTAGGACTAAATCAAGAATTGCCTCTCCTTTTGTGGGTTCCAGGACTGGCTGCTCCAAGAAGTCATTTAAGTCATTTAAAATTTGTGATTAGCTAGACTTTGGGGTTAAAAATAATATTCAATGATTTTAGCAGCTAAGGGTCCAGTTTTGTGAGGTGCTAAGGCTTAACTTTTCAAATGTGGGTGCATACAGTTGGGCCCCAAATCCATTTTTGGGCACATAGATAAATGTGGCCTGATTTTTGAGAGGTGCTGATTACTGACAACTCTCACTTAAGCCAATGGGATTTGAAAGTGCATATCACCTCCCAGAATCAGTCCCTACATGAACAACTAAGAGTTATAGTGTTGGAAGAGTTAACAGGCTCTAAAAAAAACCCTTTTCTTGAATGCAGAATCAAGGCATGGCAGTTTTTGTTTTCCTTAAGATGATGCTAAAGCTGCATTATATATTAGATTTATGCACTGGAATAACTTTTCAGCTAAAAGAAATTAGAGATTTTGATTAGGAATAGCTAAGTAAGCCAGCTTGTTAGAACTTTGGTATCTCTTGGGAACCACCTTTTCCAGGATTAAAAAATAATTACTGCAGATGGACAGTTCTCTTTTTCAAAGCTGAACTACTTAAGTAGGTGAAAATTCTAATGAACACTTACATTACTTAATTATTAAGGCACCAGTTGCAGCTCCGTGGTAAAGGTTGAATTGAGTTTTGCACTTAAAATAGGGATTCAACCAACACAGAAAAATCTAGTTTGTTCTTGCCAAAATTGCAGCATTGGCTTTTTGAGCACAGAATGAATTTTTCAAGAATGTACAAGTAAATCTGTTAATGTAGGAGTTAAAATTAATTTTTAAAAAAGATGTGATAGACGCCGTCTCTTGTGAGTGCCTCCTGTCGGGTGGGTGTGATGCTGCAAGCTCTCCTACCCCCGGCACATCCTGCAGGTTGTTGACCTCACTAGGTGGGTCATCAGTGGCTCAGCCCTCTGGCCAAGTCAGACAGTCTAAAATGGAGGAACCCCTCCTGTGGTAGCAAAGAGTTCAATACACTGTCCTCCCCAGGGTCTTCAGCCCCATCTCTGGGCTCCCTTAAGTCTTGCCCTTCAGTTGGGCTTCCCAACAGAACCTTGTCCCCTTCTTGGTGCTTAGGCCACTTCGCTAGTAGGTCAGTGAGGAGGATCTGGGCCTGTTCACTACTCTGGGCCCCAGCCCAGAGACTCTATACACAGCAGCCACACACTACTTTCTTCAGTTTGCTGCTGCTATTCCCTGGGCCTTTTCTTCATGTAGCCTCTTTCTCTTCACCCTGACTTCATGGCTGAAGTTCTCAAACTCTTCCTCCTTGCTGAATGCAAGTATCACCAGAACCCATCTTCTGGTTCTCTTCTTGAGCTCCTGTGACTAGCAATGAGCACCCTTCCTTGCTCCTCTGGTCCCACCAGGAACTGACCTGCTCACGCCCTGAAGCTCCTTTTATCTGAGCCTGCTGAGCTCTGATTGGCTGCTCGTATGCAACATTTCTTGGCAGGCCCACCTCTGCTGCTCCTTCCTAGCATGTAATGTGGTAAGACTGCCGGGCCTCCAGCAGGGGGCCCCAAAGGGCCAGATACACCCAATCAAAGAAACCTTTTAAGAAATTTACAATTGGGTATCAAACCTTGTTTTTTGTCCCTAATGATCTTAATAATGGAATACTACAGATTCTTCAAACTTCCCTTATAGTTAAAAACTCACTGAAATAATGTACAGTAGTTTACATTTGAAGAATTGTTTCTAGGACTAATAATAATTTTTTCCTGTTATTCTTCATAACTAAAAGTTGCTCCTTCAGCAGAGGCTGAAGAATATTGTTCTATTACAGAGAACTCACAAAGAATTGCCATATTTCAAAATGGCTGTAATCTTCCATTTTCCCTCAATGTTATTGAGGGGACAATTGCCCTCACATAAGGACATACTGAAAAGATCATCTATCTCCTTTTACTCTCAACTGAACTGAGGCCACAGACTGCCTGCGCAAAGCTGGTTACTTTCTCCATTCGCGTGGTGCTTGCAGTGTTGCTCTTTGCTTCCTGAGAACATAGTGGGCCACCATCTTCCCGGAAGGCAGCATGGCTTCACCCTCTTGAAAAAAATGGGAAACAGTGGCCATTTTGAAAAAGGGCTTGCAATTGAGGGCAGCTATGTATTTCATCCATTAAAACAATGAAAGATGGTCACCATTTTGAAAGGTAGGGCAGGAGGGAATGAAAAACTTGTGTATTTAAGTGTGCATTGTATATGTCTACAAAGGAATATACAGGGTGCAGAAGGGCAGGGGAAGGGGATGTGTGTGTATACAGAGAAATGTGGAGTACAGGAGGGAGGGGCGACTGGGCTAGAGTGTATGTGCAGGGGCAATGTAAGGAGGTGCAAGAAGCAGGGATATTTGGAGGCCAGGAGAGGTGACAGTGAGGTGTACACTCCTGGCTTCTTTGAACTCTCCAGTGTGGTATAAAGCAGCCAGAATGTACTGATGAATCTGAAGTGAGAATTTTAAAAACGATTTAAGGTTGATACCTCATATCTTCAAATCACTGGAAATATAACATAGTAACATTCTCTTTGAATTTCTTGTTTAGTTTTCATGACTGAAACTCAGTGAAAATGAGAAGGAAGTTCCCAGACAAAATTTACGTTAAGGTGGAGTTAAGGTTGAGAATACATATCTAATACATACATACATAACTTAGGGTAAAATATGTTACAGGGATATTGTAATTATCCCAAAATCAAGTGTTATAAACTGAGGCCTGGTCTACACGGGGGGTGGGGGGGTGGGGGGGTGATCGACCTAAGATATGCAACTTCAGCTACGAGAATACCATAGCTGAAGTAGACGTATCTTAGGTCGACTTACCTCGACGGTGTGGGGTCGACTGCCGCCGCTCCCCTGTCGACTCTGCTTCTGCCTCTCACCGCGGTGGAATACAGGAGTCGACGGCAGAGCGATTGGGGATCGATCACTACCCGCCGATCTAGTGAGTAGTGTAGACGTACCCTCAGGAAATTCAGATTTAAGGTTGAACTTAACAAAATGCAAACATATTAAGGTGTTGTATTAATGAAAGGCACAACTGGGTACCCAAACAAGCTTATCGCTGTCAAATAGTGACATCATGATGGGGGAGAGGGGCAAAAAAGAAAAAAATATAATGCTTCTTTAAAATCAGTTTAATCTAATATAGAATCACAAGCACTAACGTTTCTTAAACGTAATTGTATGGTTATTGGATGATGTCATTTAACTCTGGATTTCCAGGGATTATAATGTTTGGTTTTGTACTGAGAGGTACTCTCAACTTTAACTCCATTTTAATGTAGCTTTTGTCTAATATTAATACAATCTACATTAGCTATATCTTCCAAAGTATTCTGAAAAGTACTAATGAAAGTAGCTGTTATCATAGTGCTTATGATAATCCTAGGAAAACGTTTTTTTTAGGATCCTTTCTTAAGCAAGGATGAAGCACCAGGTACTTATAGGCCCTATGAACTTGGACAAGAAATGGGAATCTGGGTGAACAATTCTGATGGAGTAACTCCAGCTGTTGGCAAGGTTGGTTTCTTAAATTAGCATATATGTAGGTAGCAGTGTTGCTTCTCAGTGTTAGAGAATTTTCATAATCAGAAGTCACATATATTAATCAAATACTTACGGTCAATTCCAGGTGTGGCCCCCAGGAGATTCCGTGTTTCCTGACTACACTAACCCCAGGACAGCTGACTGGTGGATCCAGATGTGTGTTGAGTTCAAAACTGTCCTTGACTATGACGGACTCTGGATTGTACGTCTGAGTAGATTTTCCTTCTCTTTTTTCCAAAATCAAAAAGACAACTTGTACATATGTAAAACTTTTTATTTAAGGATATGAATGAACCAGCCAATTTTGGAACTGGCCAGTACCCAGGCTGTGCTCTTAATGACCTCAACTACCCTCCTTATGTTCCTAGTAAGTGCCTTTTAAAAACTCTTTATTTGTATTGGTTATTTCCTCAAACAGTGCAAAGTTTCTTGTTTTCCATCTTTACTTGCCTATTGTGCTATCAGTATGGATTCAGTTACATAATCATTTAGGGTTCAGTTGTCCCCCGGCCTGACGGGGGAGAAAGCACAAAAATTTTCTTCAGTCAGTCTGGCAACTGTGCCAGAGGGCTAAGCAAATGACATTCCTTGCACTTCTCCAAGTGAAAGATCTGCTTCAAGCTAGAGCTACTGCCGGTATGAGGCCAAGAGAGGGCACTTAAGGGACAGTGATCCAGTCATGGCGGCAGTGAAGCTGTGCTCCTCCGCTGCCCTTAGAGGCACACGGGGGAGCTCCAGGAATTCCTTCTGCAGATTCGTCCTCTGCCCTTTCCCCTACCGTGGGATACAGCTTTGAACCATAATTGAGCCCTTAGTGGCCATCTAAATCATAAGCAGCAGGAAGAAAACTTAGGTATTTCAAGGCCATATTTAATATGGGAGGGGAAAATATTACAAAGATTTGAAAACGTGTCAAGTTATCCATGTATATACAGCAATAGCAGCTGTGTGTGTTGCACACGTCTCTGTGGAATTTCTTTGGAAGTGCTTAGATGCTTTGCAGAACCCTGTGTGAATTCCCTCGGGAAGTGTGTGAATTCTTTTCTCGCACATTGTGTGAATACAATGTTGCTTTAATGTGAGAACACTGTAAGTTGTATTACAAGTTTGCCTTATGACATTGTATGGGACAAGGGTATATCACTCTCAAGTCAATGTCACCTCACAAGAGCTTCCTGAATTTAGCATCAAAATAACTTGCACAGATACACACACATAATCTTATGATCACCACAAAGTACTAGTTCTACTAGTATTTCAGTGAGGAGATATCCAATGGGTTATCTTATTGGTGATCGTAAAGGCTACTTATTCCTTTCCCACTTGGTAGAACAATGCCACGCAGATGCACCCTACTGGCGCACTAAGCAGTCAGGACTTTATCATTAATCACTGTGTAGATCAGCACTTCTCAAATGGTGGGTCTGGACCCCAAAGTGTGTCGTGACCCCATTTTAATGGGGATACCAGGGTTGATGTTAGACTTGCTGGAGCCTGGGGCTGAAGCCCAAGCTCCACTGCCCAGAGCCAAAGCTGAAGCCCGAGCCCCACCTCCCAGGGCTGAAGCCGAAGCCTGAGGGCTTCAGTCTTTGGTGTCGGGGCTCAGGGTTATGGGACCTCTGCTTGGGGCTCAAGCTCTTGGGCTTCAGCTTTGCCCCCCCCCCACCGGGGCAGTTGGGTTCAGGCAGGCTCAGGCTTGGGTCCTCCCTCCTTGTGTTGTCCTTTGTTGTCAGAAGGGGGTTGTGGTGCAATGAAGTTTGAGAACCGCTGCTGTAGATCATGGGATATAGGCAGTAATGAAATTCTATTCTAGGAAGGAAATACACTGCCATCCCAGAATAGTTTTTCCTTTGGGTTGTGGCATGCAAGGTTTGAAAACCACTTTTCTGACAGGCAAGGGAGCAAATTTAGGGCAAATTGTCATGGGCGTAGTTTTGGGGGAGAGAGCAAAACTCCCCCAAACTGCAAACCTTGGGCAGGAGTGGAATTTGCCCCTCACTCCACCCCCCACGCAGCGCATTGGCCTGACTGGCACCCCACCCAAATATAAAAGTCAAACTTGGCCTATGCAAATTTGTTGCTATTTTGTACCGGTGCAATTTCATTAAAATAGCATGTAGTTCCCAATTGCGATTTCCCCCCTGAATTCTCTGATTTTGCAGTAAAAGTGTGTGAACTGAATCATGAGTTTTGTATAGCTTTAAGGCCTGACCCAAACCTCACTGTAGTCAGTAGGAATTTTCCTACTGCCTTGAATGGGCTTTGGATCAGGCCCTTTATGTTGTGCTGTAGGTGTCACTTGGATGTGAGAGGTTAAACTTCAGCCATCTCTGATGAAAGGTCAAGATTCCTAGGCACTTTTCCGAAAAAGTAACTAGTTATCTCTGTATCGTTGGCAACACTTCTTCTCTCGGGAAGATAGGTTCTAATAAAGTTGTATGAGAGTGATGGGGTGGAAAAACCTCTTCCAGTACCCAACATGCTGTTGTCAGATGCTACCGGTGTGGTGCTCTGCTATCTCCTATGTTGATATCACTCGGCTGCGTGCGGGTGTTCCCTCCGTGTGCTGTCCCAGCTCTGCAGATAGCTGACACAGCAAACCCAACGAGAACCCCCAATGACCACAGACTCTAGTAAGGTACAAAGGCACCTTGGCCAGGTTTATTGCGACCTTGGACACAATTGCAGTTCCCCGTAGATTACTTAGTCTACTGGGCATACTACTAATAGATGCCTCTTGGCAATGGACCCGGCTCAGTCAGTGGCGGGACTTTCCACTGTCCTCTCGGCCGGACAAAGACACCACCCCAGGGATACATTCTTATACACAGGTACAAACAAGTTACACATCACTCCTGACGTATTGAGGTGCAACCCCTCCACGCAGCAAGGTACAACCCCTCTACGTAGTAAGGTGCCGCCTCTCACCTTGTACATGTTGGTTCGATCAAAACAACTCTATCCATCATTTTACCCTTTTGCCCCTGCCATTGGGATGGGTCGGCCTGTTCCATGTTATCTGTGGAATGTTCCAGTATTGGAGTGTTCTGATATCTGGTGTCCAGTACCTTTTAGGTATGTCTCTTTTTGCAGCATCAGCCCTTTCTTTGCCAGCTTCTGTGAGCAGGGCTTGCCTCTGGCTCACAGCTTCACTTTGCTTTATATTAGCAAAGTCTTGACCATTACTTTAGTTCAGGCCTTAGGCCTTATACCAGGCCTCTGATACCAAGGTTTCTATCTCAGGGCCTCCTCTTACTACACATGCCTGGGGTTAAAATTATGTCCCAGGAAACCAGAAGCCCTGCAGCTGGTGCCAACAATCCGGCAATTCATCTGGTCAACATTTCGCCAACAAATCCCTGCTGTGCTAGCAAGTCTAATTGGCAGCAGGCAGCCAATACAGTTCGTCATTGGCAGTGAAATATTGGCTATTTTTACTTTGTTTTTCTGTGTTGCACTCCAATGCGGATGCTTTGTAACAGTAACATTTTTATTTTTAAATCTCCTGTTCCCTCCCTGGGTTGCTCAGGTCACTGAACAAACTCATGAATAAAACACAACAAAAGTACAATATTATTATTGTAAACTACTGAAAACAATAGAAATTTTTTAAACAGAAAATGTCAAGAAGATTCTCACTCTGCTCCTCTATTTGCTGGAGTTTGTTGAACTTAACTATTACACACAGATCCTACCATTGCTACCCAGGCCAATCTCCACACTGACTTCAAGGATCAAGCCCTTAAAGGTTTTCCATACTCACGTTAAGAACGCCTCTTTTTTTGTTGGCATTAATTGTACCCACAAATAAGGTCAGCGAAATATCTAAGCTGCTTTGCATTCACGCATAACAGACTTAGCCACTGTTATCTCAACGGTACCCACAATTATTTGCACCTGTAATCTGAACCCATAAAAATGGAGGCTGATGATTGAAAAGCTGGCCCTTAAAAAGCAATTTTCTATAAAAACCCCTTAAGTTGTGGATTAATATACAATTGTGAAAATAAGCTGTATGATCGAGGCAGAAATCAAGGAGTCTTTGCAGTATTTAAAATAAGAATGAATCATGATAATAGGATTCAGTTTTGGTAATTTTATTTTACATTTCACTTTGTTTCTTATGTGGGACAGAACTTATACTTAATTATCACCAGAATATTACACTTAGCCATAACTAGTGAATTGTCTGTCAAATTACTTGGAAATTGACTGTAAATTAAATGATTCCACATGCAATTCAGCCACAATGGAGACTTTACAGCCTGTTGTGTCAAAGGATCCAATCATAAAGATTCTAGCTCTAGAAGGATAGTAGAGAGGACATGCTAATATGGTTTTAGATACTGGAGATTACATTTTGTAGTAATTTCAAACATACAGTAGTGTGGACTCCACTAGTTCCACTGTCTTTTAAGTTCTACATTCTGCAGGGAAAGAGAGGCAGGATTTGAGCCTAGTTATGAATTCTTACTCTGTCACAGAGGCCTTCTGAGTCATACTGCTTAATTGCCATCTACAGTTTAGTGATATGCAAATTGAGAACCCATGATTTCAAATGCTTATGTAAGGTCTTTGTGCTTTTGCATTTTTATTTTTGTTTGACACTGGAATTTACTAAAGTCTGTCACTCAATAGGAAACAAGTGTCACCCTGTAGAATTATTATTGATTCAGTGATTTTTCCTTTGTGTGTTAGTATTTGAATCTATATTACCTTTCTTGAAGATCTGATTTTCTAGACATAGAACTGGACTACATTAACATAGCCTATTCAATAGAAACATCCCTTTGAACATAACATATCTAGAGTGGACAGGTGCCTGGTTTTCGACTGGAAAGTCTGGTCAAAAAGGGGAGCCGACAGTGTCTGGTCAGATGTCCTGACAGGACACCCAAAGTCCGGTTACTACAGGCAGGGGAGACAGGGAGGCGCCGGGTCATCACCCGCGCCAGCTGCTACTCAGCTTGTGTCAAGTGGCTGCAGCTCCCAGCCCCAACTCTGCAGGTGAGTCGCTCCTGACCCAGGCAGGGGGTGGGCAGTGGGTGGGTGGGAGGGGAAAAGCAGTGAGCAACAGGAGGGAGGGGTAAGAGGAGTGAATGGGGGAGGGCCCTTGAGGGAAGAGGTGGGGCCTTGGGGAAAGAGGTGAAGCAGAGGAGATTCCGGCACTCCTGCTGGAGTGTCTGGTTTTAAATATTACCAAGTTGGCAACCCTATGATATGTCCATCTAGAAGAAGATTTGTCACTATTATCTTTAAACACACAGCAATCTAAAAAGATTAGATCCTGCAGTGCTTCCGCTTTTATTCTTTTTAAAATCTTTAGGATTTTGCTATATATTGTAATATTTCTTCATTGAATACAATTGTGAAGAGGTTTGAAATTTGATCTGAATAATTCTCTAACTTTATATGCCATTCTCAGGAATTACAGATTACTCTCTGGCTCAGAAGACGTTATGTCCAGACTCAAAAACTTATCTGGGGGATCATTATAACACACATTCTCTCTTTGGCTGGTCACAGACACCACCAACTTTCATGTAAGTCATCTAAGTATCTCCTTCTAAACATGCAGTTTAAATAAGAATTTAAAGAACAGCTGATTTTACATGGAAAACTTTGAAATGGGCTCTACTTAGAAATATCTGTTTAGGCCTCTTTGCTTTTTATGTACTAAGGACAATTTCAAGGAATCAGAAAGTTTGCTTCTGTCATGTTAATTTGTTTCAGATAAAGTGAAAGGGCCTAATTCTGATAGGGCCTAATTCTTCGGCTGCTGCTCATGTGAAACTAAACTAAGCAGTTCAGTGATTTCTGTGAAAATTCTCCCCACACAACAGCTACAGAATCAGATTTAGTGACTTCACAACCATTTCCCATAGCAGCTAATTATGATGCCATATATAAAGGAGTATTTATTACTTTAGAGGAAGAATTAAAAACATAGACTCCCGAGATAACAAAAATCTTTTCGTGGACATGTCTTGACTTGCCTGGAGAGTATATTGTTTTTTGGCATAAGTCTGTGATGTGGTAAGGAAAGCCCAAAGGGGATTCTAAATGGTGGAGTTACATTGCATTGCAGTTATAGGTTAATGTAAAAATTGTCATTTTTGCAGCTGGAAAACTCTGAGCTATTTCAGACTAACAGTATCTGTCACTATGAAACTAGAGTTAGTTCAAAGGCTGGATATGCTTTTTAGGACTCTCAAAAAAGAAAAATCAAATGGGCACATCATGCTTGTTTTCAGTACAAATTGAGGTTAGAGACACAATTCTTTTTGTTGTATTAATAAAGGGCCAAAACCTGGGGTCCTTATGTTGTTTTTACTCAGTCTTAACATTAGTATTTAGTAACGGTAGTGTGGTAGCATCCCCCACGGGGCCCCATCATTCTGCTACTTTCTGTACAACCACATAGGGGTACGCAGTCTCTGTGCCAGAGAGAGCTCGGTAGAGAGTTCAGATTGCCCCACAATCTGACAACCCAGTATTTAGGATATTAAAGGATCCTATCCTTCAGTCCACCTCCACATCTGAAAAACTGCCCTGAGGCTTTATAACCAAGTATTCTGCCACCCACAAGGCAGTAAGCCTGTGTGCTGTGCATGCTGTGTCTGCTGTACAGACCTAACACAGAAAGTAAAGGTCAATTTTGACCCTTTTCATATCTGTCTCATTTCAGCTTCATAAACGTAGCACCACACAAAAGTGCCTTTCTCAGCCATCTTCCTGCTTCTGAAGAATAGCGCTGTTCATGAGAAATACAAACACTTTGTTCAACCAAACACACAGAATTCTTGAAGACAAAAAAATCGTTTTCAAAATATAAAGTAGCTCACAATGCATCTAAAAACAGAAGCAGGGTTTGCAGTAGAACTAGGCAAATACTGCAAACAATATTCCGTGGATCTTCATCTGGATTTTTTAAAAACAAATTTCTTCCATGGCTGTGTTCATGCCCTTTTGCATTCACTTTCCACAAATAATCATCTAATAAATGATGTTACTGACAGGAATGTTTATCAGAACTGCATATATTGCAGAATATTTGCAGAAATTGAATTACAAAGTAATAATCGTGAGTATTTGTATCTAAAATCTGATTCTAAGAAATCCAATCAGGTAACAGAAACCTGTCATGTGATCTGTTTCCAGTCAAATAGGATAACTTTTGAATACTGAATACTTACAACAATCAGCTTTCACACAATTTACAGGCCAAGAATTATCCACAGATGTTGTTCTGTGAATAACTTCAAACAAATGTATTTGAGAAAATCAGATTTGGTTCTGAGATGACTCACAAAGTGGTAAAACTTGTTAAATTGTTTGTTACAAACTATTCACCCAGCTCTAGTTTATTGTTTTCCACCCATGACTACTACCCCAGTAATTTGCCCCACACATAAAGCTGGAGTATCTGAGGAGACCTATGCTAGGGTTTAGGGAAGGAACGTTTCTTTGCCAGTAATGCTCCAGGATGTTACTTCTAAAAGAGACCTGGAGTCTTGTTTTATGTGGCCACTCCACCAGCTGGCCCCCTTGAACAACAGAACCGATTCCATTGCTTTTCAGGCATTACATACCTTGCAGTGGTTAGCCCATAAGCTTAATGTACATTTGTTTATTTGTATGAAAACCAATCAGTTTGTTTTAGAAATATCAACATAACACATTTTGAAAAATCTGTGCCGGTTAAAGAGCCAGTACAGTAAAATATGTAGCTCACTTATATAAACATGTGTGCCAGTGCTTTTGTGCAAATCTCATTAATAAGGGAAAGTGATGAGGATAATACACAAAAGTATTAATAATCTAGGCTGCAGTTTTCAAGGGAGCCTAAGGAGTTAGGTGCCCAAATCTAAGTGAAATTGAATAGAATTTGGGTTTCTAACTTTTTTAGGCTCCTTTGAAAATAATTAATTATGTAAATGCTGCCAAACAAAATTACATGTAATATTAAATAACTGGTGAGTCATATAACTCACATACAAAAACTATTTAAGAAAACACTAAAATATTTTATCTCTGTAACTAGGCACTTCACAGTATGTTTTCTTTGTCAGTAAGCAATAATGTCCCAATTCTTTGACTGTTCTCTTACACAATGAAATTACATATTTTTGAAGTGCAAATGAAAACATCGTAAATAAATCTATCACGAAAAATCAGTGTTGTACCAGAACAGGAAAGAGGGGGAAACAGTGAAAGGAAGGATGCATTTTGTTTAGAATAATTCAAGATTTCTTTCATAGTTTGATTTGGTGCTTGTTCTTTAGTTCCATTTTGCTTTGTAGTTGCCATCAAAGCAATTCTTTATCATCTAATAATACTATATAAACAAATTCCTATATTAAAAGCAAAGTAGTACAATTATTTGTATACAGTGAATTTTATGGGAAAAGACACGAGACTGGATAACCATGTAAATGTAGAGGGGTGTCAAACTTACTAATAGCAATAGGAATATAAATATTCGAGTTTATTGTCAAGGCTATAGATTAGACATGGTAATTTTGGGAGGAGTCTTGATAACATCAGAAGTCACCATAAATATTATGAAAAGACAGGGGCATACTCTGTAGTAAACAAACTATGGCAACATTTCTCCTCTGAGAGCCACATAATATTTCTCAGTTTCACTCTTTGCTCTTCCTATAATTGCAGATATATTTTGATCTCAGTAGGAGTTCTGTACGTGTAAGGACAGCAGATATTGGAGCTGAGAAGAGAATTTTGCCCTACTTTTTAAATGTTCTCTAACTTTGAAACTTTATGAAATATTTTGGGGACACCTCATATTTTGGGTACTTAATACTGCTGTCCTTTCTTTCCCATTATGTAAGTCTCCATGTTCATCCAGATTTTTCATTTCCCTCCTCTTTCCATGTCCCCAAAAGAGTACTCTCTTAAAGTTTAGGTGTTGCTTTGCAGCCACCCTCTTTCTTTTATATAGTGCCCTGTCAAGTCCTGATAGTCCAGAGTTTTCAGGGGGCCTTCATGGTGAGTTCACTAGTCCAGTTTTTCATCTGACAGTGTTATTGCCAAGTCCCTCATTCTATTAGCCTTCTGTGCAGTCCTATGGTTTGTTCTGGAAGTAAAATTTGGAAAATTCTCTTCACCTGGACTTTCATCATAGAATCATAGAATATCAGGGTTGGAAAAGACCTCAGGAGATCATCTAGTCCAACCCCCTGCTCAAAGCAGGACCAATCCCCAACTAAATCATCCCAGCCAGGGCTTTGTCAAACCTGACCTTAAAAACCTTTAAGGATGGAGATTCCACCACCTCCCTAGGTAACCAATCCAATCTAAACCTCCCCCACTGCAACTTGAGACCATTACTCCTTGTTCTGTCATCTGCTACCACTGATAACAGTCTAGATCCATCCTCTGTGGAATCCCCTTTCAGGTAGTTGAAAGCAGCTATCAAATTCCCCCTCATTCTTCTCTTCTGCAGACTAAACAATCCCAGTTCCCTCAGCTTCTCCTCATAAATCATGTGCTCCAGCCCCCTAATCATTTTTGTTGCCCTCTGCTGGACTCTTTCAAATTTTTCCACATCCTTCTTGTAGTGTAGGGCCCAAAACTGGACACAGTACTCCAGATGACGCCTCACCAATGCCGAATAGAGGGGAATGATCACATCCCTTGATCTGCTGGCAACGCTCCTACTTATACAGCCCAAAATGCCGTTAGCCTTCTTGGCAACAAGAGCACACTGTTGACTCATATCCAGCTTCTCATCCACTGTAATCCCTAGGTCCTTTTCTGCAGAACTGCTGCCTGGCCACTCAGTCCCTAGTCTGTAGCAGTGCATGGGATTCTTCCACCCTAAGTGCAGGACTCTGCACTTGTCATCGCTGAACCTCATCAGATTTCATTTGGCCCAATCCTCTAATTTGTTTAGGTCCCTCTGTGTCCTATGCCTACCCTCTAGCATATCTACCACTCCTCCCAGTTTAGTGTCATCTGCAAACTTGCTGAGGGTGCAATCCACGCCATCCTCCAGATTATTAATGAAGATATTGAACAAAAGTGGCTCCAGGACTGACCCTTGGGGCATTCCACTTGATACTTGATCCAACACCCACTCTCACTCAACTGCTGTGGACATGCTCAGGGGCTAACTGATCACCATAGTTGGGGTTGGGAAGGAATTTCTCCCCCATATCAGATTGGCAGAGACCCCGGGGGGGGGAGGGGGGTTCACCTTCCTCTGCAGCGTGAGGAACAGGTCACTTCCAGGTTTAAACTCAGTAACTGCTGAATTCTCTGTAACTTTAAGTCCTTAAACTATGATTTGAGGATTTCAGTAACTCAGCCAGAGATTAGGGGTCTATTACAGGAGTGGGTGAGGTTCCGTGGCTTGGGATGTGCAGGTCAGATTAGATGATCACAATGGTCCCTTCTGACCTTAAAGTCTATGAGTCTAACTCACTTTACCTGCTTATTTAACCATTGTCCCATTCTCACTCAGTCTCTCACCCACAACTAACTTGCTAACTTATTTGCACAACATTTCCAAACAACATGGACATCTTAAACTAAAACAAAACATGAATATAAGTAGGGATGGCACAAGTTCTAATATTTGTACATGTTTCCTTGTATTTGTGTGTGTATGTTTCTCACAGGCTTTTAATAATTTGGGGAGCTTTTGGCAGGGCCAGTTCCAGGCACCAGCGAAGGAAGCAGGTGCCTGGGGCAGCCAATAGAAAGGGGCAGCACGTCCATCCGTTGTTGGGGCGGCACGTCCGGGTCCGCGGTGGCAATTCGGCGGCGGGTCCTTCAGTGCCTCACTTCCTCTTCGGTGGCACTTGGCAGCAGCTCAATCGCTCCGCTCAATCTGGCTTTTCTTTTTTCTTTTTTGTTCTCTCTTCGCCGCTTGTGGCGGCAAAAAACCTGGAGTCAGCCCTGGCTTTTGGAGTATCAAACTATTGAGAGATCTGGTTTTCTCATAGTATGTTTCAGTTTCTGGATGGTGGAAATTCCACAACAAGGCCTGCTCTAGTTTTATTTCAACTTGATAAATAGCTCTCTGAGGGAAAACCAAGCCTCAGAAGAACATAAATAGAAATAGTGAGAAATTCTTATGTTCTTATTCACATACATTCAGATTCATGAGGAACCTGAATGAGTACATGACCCCAAAAGTCATGGATTCCACAACAATCATGACATACATTCTTACCAATTTATGGTGGTTGTTTTTCTTTACAAGGATGTAGTACTGATTTCTGTATTTTACATGACTCGAGAACATAATGGACCACAATAACAGTTGTTATACGGATAAAACTCTCACTTACCTTAACCAAAATTTTGCCTATATGAGGACTTCAGAATCAAGCCTATAATGTGAAAACTTCTTGAGTTGGGTTTTCTTCACTGATGTTGATGTACTTTTTCCCAGTGCTGTTCAGAAGGCCACCGGAAAGCGAGCATTTGTTCTAAGTCGTTCTACATTTGTCGGAAGTGGGAAATATGCAGGTCACTGGCTAGGTGACAACTTTTCACGCTGGAAGGATATGCACATGTCAATAATTGGAATGTTGGAATTTAATCTCTTTGGGATTCCATATGTAAGTCTGCCTAAAGGCTATCACTGTTTCATATGTAATATCATTTGAAATGAATCCAAATGTTTGCTTATATGAAATGCTTGATATGGCAAGCAGGTGCTGATTAAATTTAATTTTGTCAATTTTTTCTAATTCAAGAAGAGTCAAAGATTCTCATATGAAACAATTGTGTGATGTGCCAGTGTAACCCGCACACCTGGGTGTGGGGTTCTATCCCATCTAGTGGCACCAAAACCACTTAGAGAGAGATTGAGTTGGCTCTATAGCCTTGGCTAACAGCGAGTTGGCTTTTAGCTCATGTGGTAGAAGCTCATGCACTAAACTCCAGAAGTCCCAGGTTCAATCCCGCCCGCTGACGACCAGGGTCTGTCGGCATTACACCAGGAAAAATAGATTTCCTTCCTGATATATGTTTCATCATTCATATTTCAAAATATATTTCTAATTTTGCAAGCTGAGTTGAAGAAATAATACAATTATTAAAATATAGTCAAATCTATATTAACATTCTCAGTCACTGCACATTTTTTTTCCATGTTCATCACACTATTGTGGGATCACCTGATAAAATCACCAGAAAAATAGTGGTCCTTTCGTTGACCTTTATTAACAGGTATCACTGTAACATTGATTTAGGGCCTGATTGTGTAACTCTTACTCACACTTATGAGCACTTACTTAATTATTGTGTTTCTTCAGATTGGTGCTGATATCTGTGGGTTTCTCCTTGATACAACTTATGAACTCTGCTTACGATGGATGCAACTTGGTTCATTTTATCCTTTCTCCAGAAATCATAACGGAGAGGGCCAGACGGTAAGAAAGCAAAGCTACTAAATGCTGCAGCCCTTGATTTTCATATTTATCATTTTAATATTTAAATTGTACTCTCAAAAATCATTCTGCGTTTCTGTGGGTAAACCCTTGTTGGGTGAACAGAAATCTTTTATATGGTGCAGTGCTATCAGATGTCATGCACAGAAGTGATTGTTATGCATTCCCATAATTTAAAAATGGATTGAAACTTTTAAAAAAGTGTCTAATATCCCAAAGCTGCATAGAAATAAATTTGTGCACAGTTTACAATTACAAAAATGTAGATACAAATCAGTTCCTCCATCATTAATCTACCAACACCCTAGTTTTTGTTTCCTGTTCTCTTTTAGGTGTTAATGACATTATCAAGTATTTCAGGGAAACAATTATTTGAAGGCAAATGGAGGAGGAACAGATTTGCTATTATCTCCTGCCCATAAATTATTGTTTGGTTGTCATTTTAAAATATGAACATATAACACATCCTTTTACTTGCTTAGAATGTTTTTAAAGTGCTTTTATGTTCACCTTTTAACACACATTACAGGAAGGGGCAGACAGGCTACAACCTGCATCATCCTAAATTAAGCCTCAGACATATATCATAGTTAGAAATTTTGGACAAATTATATTTCTTATACATTAGAAACTTCAAGGACAGGTAGCAGTAGAAACAACAGTTACTCAGCCTAGTAGAATTGAAATCTGAAAAAAAAACAACTGAACTGAATTCATAACTGAAAAAGTGCATTATCAAGTCTAACTCTGTATCCATATACTCATTCTAGCTCTTATCTCAGCTAGAAAGAAATGTCATGTTGTTTCTAGCTGCTGAAAGGTTGAAGGTCCTCTGGTCTTTGGATATACATTATATTTCTCCACTGTGCTGTAACAATGAATGAAAGAATGATTCTGCTATTACAAGAGGCTGTTTTTACTTTTGTAAGATGAAATGTACAAAGATGGAGTTAATGTTGTGACTGTTAACTTTCATTTTTGCTGCAAGGCCAGATTTTTAAAGGCTGGTGTAACAGTTGCACCACAAGAATTCACATTTGCCTGCACAAATGGGTATGTGCCTTTAAAAATTGGGCAATTGCACATGCAAACAGGCACAATGGTTCCTATTAAAAAGTCAAGACTTGCCCCCACATTTACTATCCAATAGCATTGGAACTACCAAAGTATTCCCCTATAATTAGAATAGGAAATGTCTGTTTTTTCAGATACTACTGTGTGTAAATATTCTCTGTGTAGTGGTGTCCATTGTAGTTAGATTTATAGTTAACTGATTTGCACTCATGCATGCACCCATGTGTGCATGAAAATGTAAAATTGTGTTTGACCTATATGGGAGTATATTTGTAGTCTATATACAGGTTGGTAGTTAATTTGCATGTCAAACATGAGTGCATATAATGGAAATATAAATATATGGCTACATGAGTGCATTCTTCATGAAGGCTGTAGCTTATCAACTCATAAATAAGTAGGTTATGGGCCGAATTCCACCATCCTTATGTTGATGGATCCATTTGAGGAGTAAGGCATTAGTAAGGGTGGCAGAATAGGGCCCACATGATGTCCCCCCCCCCCTCAAATTACTACATGCCAATTCAAGAAAAAGTGAATTGAGCAACTAGAATTAATTTTTCTTGTACTGTTAAAAATCATAGAACAGTTCTGTTCATTTTTTGTAAAAATCTGATTTGCAGGGCGCTTTGGGTGACTTAGACTGACTATTTTTACTGTATTTAGACAATATTTGTACAGTAGGGCTGTCCAAGTGGTAAAAATATACCACTATTAAAAAGTAGCTGGCGTTCCAGAGCTTAGAAACCAGCAGGAAACATGGTTATTGACTAATGCAGATGTATGTATAAGAGAGGGTAAAAATAACTTAAATATTGAGTTAATTAATATTAAATGTAATATTAAAATTTGATCTTAAGCATCTGGTTTGTCTGACTCATAGGGATGTTGCATGGCTTAATAATATTCTTGCCTGAAAAACACTAGATAATATAAAAGCAAAGTTTTATTATTTCTGTTCTTTTTATGTTTCATTAATCCAGGAATTCATGATGCAGTATTTTAAAGAGAAATTGACTCATTTAGGGAGAAATTTTTAAGACAGATATGGAGTCTTACGACACTTTTTCATGATCTCAGTCCACAGTTTCTATGAACTTCAGTAAATAGCAGAGTGAATCCACTGAATACAACAGGTCAACAATATCCAGTGAATGTGGATAAATTTTTTTAATCTGCTCTTTCTGTTTCTAAGGAGGCCATACAGTTTCTAGTGAGGGTCTTTGTGACAAAACCTTAAAAGCAGAAGTCCTGTCTGCTGGGTATAGATTTTAGGAATGAGGGTTGAGCTTTTCAAAGCAAGGCAGGGGACTTGACTTAACACATTTTCCATTAATTTTTCTGGAAAATGGGAAGCTAAATTTCCTGCAGTGCTTTCAAATCACAACCTGGCTTTTAGAAATGGCCTACCCTATTGTGCCCTCAGAATTATATGCACAAATATTTGTAAGCATAATTGATGTCATTCTGACATAACCATCAAGCTATTAAGTTTGAAGATGATACCAAACTGGGAGGGATTGTAACTGCTTTGGAGGACAGGGTCAAAATTCAAAATGATCTGGACAAATTGGAGAAATGGTTTGAGGTAAACAGGATGAAGTTTAATAAAGACAAATGCAAAGTGCTCCACTTAGGAAGGAACAATCAGTTTCACATATACAGAATGGGAAGAGACTGTCTAGGAAGGAGTACGGCAAAAAGAGATCTAGGGGTTATAGTGGACCACAAGCTAAATATGAGTCAACAGTGTGATGCTGTTGCAAAAAAAGCAAATGTGATTCTAGGATGCATTAACAGGTGTGTTGTGAGCAAGACACGAGAAGTCATTCTTCCGCTCTACTCTGCGCTGGTTAGGCCTCAGCTGGAGTATTGTGTCCAGTTCTAGGCACCGTATTTCAAGAAAGATGTGGAGAAACTGGAGAGGGTCCAGAGAAGAGCAACAAGAATGATTAAAGGTCTAGAGAACATGACCCATGAAGGAAGGCTGAAAGAATTGGGTTTGTTTAGTTTGGAAAAGAGAAGACAGAGGGGACATGATAGCAGTTTTCAGGTATCTAAAAGGGTGTCATAAGGAGGAGGGAGAAAACTTGTTCATCTTAGCCTCTAAGGATAGAACAAGAAACAATGGGCTTAAACTGCAGCAAGGGAGGTTTAGGATGGACATTAGGAAAAAGTTCCTAACTGTCAGGGTGGTTAAACACTGGAATAAACTGCCTAGGGAGGTTGTGGAATCTCCATCTCTGGAGATATTTAAGAGTAGGTTAGATAAATGTCTATCAGGGATGGTCTAGACAGTATTTGGTCCTGCCATGAGGGCAGGGGACTGGACTCGATGACCTCTCGAGGTCCCTTCCAGCCCTAGAATCTATGAATCTATGAATCAAGTTGTATTTGAAATCAGGTAGGTAGATGTCTAGATACAATTAATTGTGCCCCCAAAATATTTGATCTGCATTTATTTGCATCCAAAAATTGTAGGTGCAGAGTAACAAACCAAGTTGAGACCTCTTAAAAATAAGGATGAAATCCTGGCCCATTGAATTCAATGGGAGTTTTGCTACTGACTTCAGTGGGGCCACAATTTCACCCGAAGGCCATAAAATCAAATGGCACTTTTCATACAGGTTAGTCTCTATGGTCTTGGCCAAAAGAATTTCCCTCTTCCCTCTGTTTGGCAGCATATTGAGTATCCATTTTCCACTTATCTTACACATTCTACCCCAGAGGTAGCTGCATTTCAGTGGTGAAATTATTTCTAAATATACAGAGTCTGATCTTGATAGGAGCTAAAAATCCACAACTCTCAATGACTTTAGTGACCTTACGGGCAATTGGGGGTGCTCAACACAACTAAGGATCAAGTCCCTGTCTTACGATGTTCACTGATATATTTAGGAATAAAAAGTTCTAAATTAGTGTGAGACTGGATTGTTGTTATTGTCTATTCTGTTTAGATTTTTTTTTTACGCTAAGCATTCAACTGTAGACTGTTCAAGTCAATAGACGCTTTCCTTAAATCATGACAGGCTACTTCCTGTATAATAATTGCATATTTGTAAACTTAAATACAAAACAAATCACTTTCTCTTTGGTAGGAGCAAGACCCTGCAGTGTTTGGAGCAGAATTTGCGGAGATATCTCGGTCTACATTGCTGATTAGATACACGCTGTTGCCTTATTTGTACACCTTATTCTTTGATTCTCATGTCCATGGAAACACAGTGGTACGAGGATTAATGCATGAGTAAGCTACCAGTCTGTTTCCTGTCTGTGATATTTTATTCATATTTATTGTGGATCCAGTGTAACAATTATTTTATATTTATTTTGATAATAGTAATGATAAAATTGTATCTCTCTGCCTTAACAAGAGCAGTTTATAGTAAAACAGCATAGTTCATGTAACATTTAACATAGATTTTACTTTAAAAGCAATATTCCCCGCCACACACTTAACTTTCCTCAATTGTTATTTATTTTCCAGGTGTTTGTTTAATAGAATGGGTCGTATGATGTTTCAAATATTTATTTTTAATATTTCTGCTTAACAGTGTTTATGTCCATACTTTTAACCATTAGGGCTTTTTGGGTATTCATATCAAGGGTAAGTAGCAGTGGTTTAATATCCATTAATAAAAGAATCCCTCATGTAGTCTTCAGTGATGTGAAGTTTGTAGTCCTATCTATTCCCCACTTATGGTATCAATAGTTCAGAGCCAGATCCTGCAGTCACTTATTACTGGACATAGTGCTTGCTTTTGAAAGCAGTCTCCTTGCTTCAGTGGAACTAATCAAGTAACTAAAGTTACTTAGATGTTTGTAGCACAAAAATATTCTATGGGTTTGATCTCCTATTTCTTGAGAAATTAAATAGAATCATTAAGGGTAATATTGTAGAATTTTACTTGTTCTTTTTCTTCTTTATAGAAGAAAAAACTGAAAGCTGCATATGTTTTCTTTTAATATCTTATTAGTTCACAGAGACTTACTGTGAAAGATGTGTTTTAAAAGCTGTCCTCCCAACAATAGTTATTAGAATCATAGAACTGGAAGGGACCTCAAGAGGTCATCTAGTCCAATCCCCTGCACTCATGGCAGGACTAAGTATTATCAATACATCCTTGACAGGTGTTTTTCTAACCTGCTCTTAAAAATCTCCAATGATGGAATCTGACCATGTGGTCATTGCATATAACATACAACAACTGTGGCCTGTTAGATTCTGCTTTGTGTTTTAGTGCCTCACACTGAGGAAATGAAATAATAAAATAATTCAATAGCTCAAAAGTTAGAAAAGGACTTGAAGTGATGGTCTATGACAAACAGCTTTAAAGACTACACAGTATGAGCTTGTCAAGATTCAAGACTTGGTTAATAGCTTAAAAAAAAGGAAAAGTGGGACAACATCAAACAGTGGGAAATGTGTAGAGGCTAACTAGCTTTCATAGACTATGGGAAATGCAATAGATTGGGGCATCAGTAGAAGGGCCTACATTTTCAACATGAGTGAGTTCATTTGCGTGCCTAATTTATGCTCATGATTGCAAGATCAGCTGTGGTGTATCCTGGTGTATGATGATCTCCTGACATACACTCTGAAAAGCCCTAAACACATAACCTGTGTTGTTTGTTTTCAGTCTGTTGAAGGAATCACCTTTATAAACACCCTGTTAAAAAAAAAATCAAATGATAGCTTGTTATTTTATATATTTGAGGTAGTGGGACTGTTGCAGGAAGAAAAGTAAATGGGTTCCCTTCTTAAATCCCTTCTTCTTGCAGCACGTAAATTTTTTATAAGAATATATAAATGTCTTTATCAAGCAAAGTTTCTTACTGAAAGTTTTCTGTCACACACCCAATTAGGTAGAGCCTGGAGCAAGCCCTCAGGCACATTAACCTTTGGCTCAATATACTCTCCCAAACTCTCCGCTATTTTAAAAAATAGAACATTGGGTACATTTCCCTTTGTTCTTCAATTGCCACGGTTCTTTTGCTCAGTTCTTTTGGAATTATTACAATACTGAACTCCTTCAGGATCAGGTACAATGTGCTATGCACATATAGAGGCATGATGATACAGACACCACTGAGAGAATCCTTTCCTAAGCAATAAAACCAAATAAAGTCAGTGTATGGAAACTTTAGCAATGTCATATACATTTTGAAATAATTGAAGGAAATCAAAGGTTGACACCGTTAGAGCTGTTCAGGAATTTTTTGATTAAACATTTTTCTGTTAGCAAATGCTGATTCATATTTGGTCAGGAAGGTCAAAATGAGAGCGAGACCCCAGAATACCCAATAGCCCAGTGGTTACTGGGCATTCATGCTTTACTTTTGCTCTGTCTGATTCGGAGCAGGAACTTTAGAGTCTCCTGCATCCCATGTGAGCGTCCCGGCTATTGGATATTCTGGGGTCTCTCTCTCTCTCATTTTTACCTTCCTGACTAAATATGAATCAGCTAGTCAGCTGGGCTATTGCCTATGATGTGTGTCCCTCCCATTTCCCCCTTTTTTCCTCTTTCTTTTAACAAAAAAATTCAAAAGATCTAGGTTTTATTCTGATGCAGATTGAAAACAAATGATGAAACTCAAATTATTTTGCAAAATGGAACTCTTGTTTTCCGGCCAGACCTAAACAAGACCATGTCTTACAGGTAGCTAAGGCGATTACTTTTAGTCTTTATCTGATGACTGATGTGTAAAATATTTACTGTCAAAGGACTGTGTTTACAATTAAGTAGCTTTACATCTTCAGTATGAAGAATCAATTACGTAATACTAGCTCTGTGTCTGTGTCTGGCAGTCAGAGATTTGGTCAGTTTCTGCAGCCGTTTGACAAATGTCAATTAATTTAGGCAACGTAGATTGAAAGGCTTGCAGAGAAGGCCATAAATACTTGAATGTACTCTCAGGGAAGCTTCAGTTTTTCTGAAATAGGACTTTGTGTGCTGCATCATCTTCCAAGGAGAGGGTATTTCTCTTTTCCACCCTGGATATAGTGGCATCTCCTCTTGGCCAGATTACCTGTTCTGTTCATTCCCTCTGGGGCACCTGGCATTGGCCACTGTCGGAAGACAGGATACTGGGCGAGATGGACCTTTGGGCAGACCCAGTAAGGCCATTCTTATGGATTTGCTATGAAAGACACTGCATCCTTTGCTGGAAGGACATATATGAGCCTCCTCAGTGTATCAGCTCCTGATTTTCAATTAAGAGACATTACTTTCCAACAATAATATGCTTCTTGTGTGAATGTATTCAGCCACCACAGTCATTACTGGAGACAGAACTGGGGACTGTAAACATTGAAAATACAGGCTTCTTCCACTTGAGCTAAGGAAGATCTCCTATAGCTATGAGGTCATGGTAGGCTGTAGAGACTCTGGATTAACCACTGGAGTATCATGATCACATGTGCAAATGAATAGTTTAGGAGGGAAGCCTTGTATTCACTGGAAAATATCAGATCCCCAAGACTGTCTCCATTGCTGTTTACTCTATCAGTTTCATGGTCTATGTAACAGGGGTAATGTTCTTCTGTTCACCTGAAATGTCAGCCAGTGTTAGAACTTGCATAAAACTGCAGAAGTTCTACTGATTCTTTATGGCAGATGTAGCTCATTAACTCCATCCATGATATAAGGGAGATGTGAGTAGCTGGTCTGGAGAGAGAAAGGGCAGAAGAGGTCCCTAGACAACCAAGCAGTGGTCCACATAGCGAATCAACAGTCAGAAAAGTTGGCATGGGTAATGAGGCTAGTGAGGGCATTTGTGTTGCATCACCTTTTGTTTTACATTTGTGTGTGTGTGTGCAGTACGTGTCTCCAGGGTAGAAAACGGCATTGTAGATGCTCTATCTTGTTTTCAGGACAATAGCTTCCAGAAACGTGCACTGTGTGCTAGCAGAGCCCCACAGGTGATGTCTCACCCATTGTGGAACCATGGCTATGGTTAGCTACAAGATTAGCTGAAAATACTTTTTGCCCTAATGATTGAAGGGCTTACTTGGCCAACCTCACTGAATTCACAGAATTTGGGAAGGTCTCCAATGTCATTGGCCCAGCACCAGGGCCGACGAGAGGGGGGGGAAACCGGTACAATTACCGGGGCCCGGCGGTCCAGAAGGGGGCCCGGTTTCCCCCCCTCTCGTCGGCCCTGTTTAGCCGGTCCACCCTTGCTGGGGGGCCCGAAAAAAATTTTTCACCGGGGCCCGAACCCACTCTCAGCGGCCCTGCCCAACCCCAAACATTAGGTGGGTTGATATATTCTGTCTTTAGCCTGCTGTGGATTGGCTTAATCCACTACTTTGAGTTGCGCAACTGGTTTATCCTTTTAGTGGGAGTCCCTGACCCATGTAAAGGATTTGTGGTAAGGAAATTATTGGAGGGATGGTGTAGAGCTGATGCGTGCAGAGAAAATGATAGACATCCCATAACCATATAGGTTCTGTCAGGGTTAGTGGATGCTGTACCCTCTGCATTTGGTGTTGCCCTTTTTCAATGCCTTCAGGGTTAGTCCCAAAAGCAGCCAGGAACAAATCCAGGTGTGTATTAGAATTCACAGATGTTTCTCTTGGATGAGGAGTAATGTCTTTATGCTTGCGGTATTCTAAAATGTATCAAACATGACAGATGGGCAAATAGTGCCCCTCTCTGATGTTACATTTTAATAAAGTTGCAGCCTGCCTCTTAAAATCTACCCGTGTCTGTTCTCTTCCACTTGAATATCCAGATCAATGAATTCAGGGATGCTGAAGTTAGCATAGCTACAGGAGGAGCTCCCCAGCAGCTCTGTGCCTGCTGGGGGAATGTTGTTGTTCAGCAAAGGCTGATCAATATTTCTGTGAAGTACAGTTTGGAGGGAGTTGGAGAGTCTGGAGCTTGATGGGGAAGGAAGGTTTTAGAAATAATGTATATCATGCTTGCACCTTACGAGGGGTTAGGGATCTTTTCATGCATTTTCTCCAGGCTGCTCTTCTGCTCAGGTGACTGGCAGATCTGAGTTCCACTGGCATTTGTAAGTATTGAAGACCAAGTGGCTGTTTTGACTCCCCCCTCCCCCCCCCCCGAAGGCCTGTACTTCACAGGAGCCCAGAATAGTCTGGTGCCCAAATACGTGGCTGCCAAAGTGGTGCTTTAGGCTCCCTACTAGTACTTTACTGAGGGAGTAGGCTGAACAGCTGGATGTTTCTTACCAATGGGGCAGTCTAAGCAGGCTGGGTCTTGCCTGGAGGTGGCAGTTCAGGTATGTGTGTATCTGTGAACTAAGCTGAGTAGCCGGCTTCTCCACGGGGCCATTGGTACTGGGTTAGCCATCTAGATTCTAGATTCTCTCCTCAGGAAATCAGGTTTGATAACAAAAGGCTTTCTTCTGTTTACACACTAAGGCATTGTTTACAGTGGCAATGGAATTATTTTAGCTATACTGTTCTTAAACATGGTTAACATGGAATACATTTAAATATGGTTAAGTATAAACTGGAGTATAAACTTTTCTCAAACCGTATTCTAGGCTAGTTAAGAGCCTAGTACAAAAACAAATACATGATTTCATGTATACTCTAATACATGTAAAATAGATGTGACTTGACTATGTTGGCCAGGAGAACGGTGTTGAACTATATTTTAAATCATGTTTCAGTTAACAATATATTATTGCCAGTATGGATGAGGTCTAAGTTCTTGATCCTAAAGGCTGTGAAAAGAGAAACCAAAACTTCTTGCTATCAGTCATGAAAAAGGTATCTGGATATTGATGGAACACACTAAAGTAGGAAACCAGAGACTGTTGGTGCAGTAAGCAATATCACAGGATCAAAATATTTCATAAGTTCTTTGAAAAAAAAAGATTTGAATTAACAATGGGTATCTTTCTTTCAAAACTAGATTTACTTCTGATCACCAGACTCATGGAATAGATACAGCTTTCCTTTGGGGACCAGCTTTTATGATTGCTCCAGTTCTTCAAGAGGCAAGTATTCTAATTTTAAAATGTTATAATATTGGAACCAAAGAGATTAATACTGTTCAGGGCTTTAAATCACCTGCTGGGTGATTGTATATTTATCTACACCATCCACTTTTTTATCCACCCTCAATCCCGGAGGACTCAGTTTCACAAACAGACCTAGCTGTACAGAAAGAACAACTATACATACACAGGCTGGATTCTCCTACTTGCCGAGTCTCGTGTTGCAGATGTCCCTGAAGGATGCCATCTATAGCAATAAAGGGATTGTAGATTTTGGAAGAAGGAAGAAGAAAAACCATGATAGAGAAACAGATATAGAATGGCTGCCAACTTGTGGACAAAGCTGTTAAACTAACCTCCAATTAAAACTGCCCAAATAATCTTGGAATTGGAACTTGTGAAAAAATATGCTAGGAGTTTCCCAACACCAAATCCAAATGAAATCAAAGTCCTTCTGTTAAGCTGATAATGACTATGTTATATACAGTGTTGTAGCCATTTTGGTCCCAGGATATGAGAGCAGGGCTGGCTCTAGGTTTTTTGCCGCCCCAAGCAAAAAAAATTTTGGCTGCCCCCGTCCCAGTCCTGGGCTCCTCACCGCACTCCCCCTGCCGTCCCAGCCCTGGGCTCTCCCCCCCACCTGCACCCCCCTGCCGTCCCAGCCTTGGGCTCCCCCCTATTCCCCCACCATTGCCCCCCACAGACACC